CCCCATTCCCCAATCTGCCAGTATCTGGTCTGCAAATCAATATCTACGTTCAATGGCTTCCTGGCAACCCCTACACCCCATCCTGCTGTATCTCTCACAGTAACTACCCAGAAATGACTCCCTGTTGAGAACCTCTGACAGCCAAGGACATAAGGATTATATACAAATCTCCTGCGGTTTGTGACAGCATTTAGTCTTTTAACTGGCTTAAGTCCTTTTACACTTCTTCGATCTTTGGAAATGACAAGGCAGTCTAGATTGGCTGTGTCTGGATCCAGAATTACATTCACTGTAAGGGAGAAGGGAAGGGAAGAAGGAAGGAAGGAGAAAATAAAAGAGCTTCAGCTGCAGGCCTAGTTTGTGTCTTCACCCGCAAATGTTTAACTCTATGGCCTCTTATGTGAATGGAGTTCAGCTTCCAAACACCCCCTTCAGGACTGGAAGACTCATTGTTTTTTTAAAACAACACCTAACCTGGTCCAGAGTTTTCCAACTTTGGCAACTATAAGACTTATGGACTTCAACTCCCAGAATTCCCCTGATGGGGCTGCTTGTGTCCAGGTCCCCGCTCTGCACCCTTTTCCGCAAGCACTTGGGCTCTCCCACTGTCTTAGTTCCATCCTCTGTTAATTGCCAGCCTGTTCGGTGCTCTTCTGGCCTTCTTGTCCCACTCACTTAAGTTGCCTTCGCCACCTGCCGGTCCCTCTACCTCTCCTCCATCTGCCACTCAGCTTCATGCCCTCAGGATCCATTGATTAGCTGTCCCACTCTTGGTTCCACTTCTCAGCTGTTTGGCTCTTGGCTCATCTGGTCAATTACCCCAACCTCTAATCTCCTGCATGGCCACCACTCAGCTGATCACCCTCCAGCTCCACCGTGCTGGCTGGAGAATTCTGGAAACTGAAGTCCAAAAGTCTTACAATCGCCAAGGTTGAAGACCCCTGGCCAAGTCCTTCAAACAGTTCATGGTGCTCTACCTCTTCTAGCATTCCTGCACAATTCTCTTTAGCTTCCATCTTGAAGATGAGATTAATGGGGCTGGGAGTGAAGAGTGGTTGTCTTTGCCTTCAGTGATTTGCTGGGATGGCCAAGGTTGAACAGGGACTCTACCTGGAGCATTTATCCAGAAGATCAGGCAGAGCGAGAGACTGCCATGTTTCAATTCTCAACTGGCAGAGTCAGAAGGATCCCCCAGAGGTAACTTGGGAGAGATAATGGAATGTGAGGAAGATCTGCCCTTTTCTCTACGAGCATCAGAATATCACAGGAATGCTCAATAGGGGAGGCTCTTGCACAGGAAACCTCTGCTTTCATCAGTTTGGTGGCCCACAAGGTGGAGACAATCCTGGTGCTCCAACTTTGCTATTTGACCCCAGAACCTAATTTTTCTGCTCCCAAAGACCTGGTCTCTCACCAATTTATAGTCAGGCAGTAAAATCAAGAGAATTCTATGTTCCTTTCAGTCCCAGCTTATATTTTGTCATTTGTCCAGATATTTCATTCTATACCAAGACTGATTTCAATTTTGTACATTATATATAGAGTAAAGCAGAGTAGAGTACAGTAGAGTAGAATAGAGAATAGAGAAGAATAGAGAAGAGTAGAGTAGAGTAGAATAGAGTAGAGTAGAATAGAGAATAGAGAAGAATAGAGTAGAGTAGAGTACAGTACAGTAGAGTAGAATAGAGAAGAATAGAGAAGAGTAGAGTACAGTAGAGTAGAGTAGAATAGAGAATAGAGAAGAATAGAGTAGAGTAGAGTAGAGTAGAATAGTGAATAGAGAAGAATAGAGAAGAGTAGAGTAGAGTAGAATAGAATAGAGAATAGAGAAGAATAGAGTAGAGTAGAGTAGAATAGAGAATAGAGAAGAATAGAGAAGAGTAGAGTAGAGTAGAGTAGAGTAGAGTAGAGTAGAGTAGAGTAGAATAGAATAGAATAATTATTTATTGGTCAAATGTGATCAGACACACAAGGAACCTTTTTGTGCTACATAAGTTCGTAGTGTACATATCAACAGGAAGTAATAGGTAATAAATCATAAAATCGTCAACATTTACAGGATCATCATAGTCCTGTATTTTTCTTTTTTGTTACTCTATTATGTTTCTCCTAAAGTTACTGGCATCAGAGCTTAAAATAGCAAGCAACTGCAATTCTTATAATTCATATTTACCTTCCTCTACTTTCAGTCCAGTTTCCAGAGTATCTGAGGAAGAAAAGGGAGGGATTCAGCATCTTATCACTGGAACTGGAGCAACATAAGGGCCTCCCTACAGATACCCTGGTTTCCCTTCCTTCGACTCAAATCAGGAAATAAGGAATAAGGAATGCCACAAGCCAGAATGTCATAGCTGTTTATGTATATTCCACCAGATATAAATATATTCTACTATATATTCCATATACAGGTAGTCCTCAACTTACAACCAGTATTGAGCCCAGAATTTATGTTGCTATGTGAGAAATTTGTTGTTAGTTTCCCCCCCCCCCATTTTACAACTTTTCGTGCCAAATTTGTTAAGTGAATCATTGCAGTTATTAAATTAGGAACACGGTTGTGAAGTGAATCTGGCTTCTCCAATGTTTTTGTTTGTCAGAACGTCACAAAAGATGGTCACAGGACCCCGGGACACTGCAACCATCATAAATATGTAAGAGATCTAATAGAGACCACCAAGTATCCCTTCTGGGATCCCTACTCTTTAAAATTCTTTGCAAATACCTGTTGTGGCTCCGTCCTGTGGGTCCCTCTCATCGGAGGAGGAAGGCTCTGAACATGAAGGAGAGGAGATGGCCAGGCCTCCCTCTCCAGGACCTTCCCCTCTGGTGCGGCCTTCGGTGCCTTCCGACGGAGAGGAGATTGGCCAGGAGCCAGGTGCTTCTGGGATTGGCCAGGAGCCAGGTGCTTCTGGGATTGGC